AATTTTCTGAAATACTGAAAGTTCTAAAGGTAAATTTAAAATATTATTTATCATTAAATTGTTCCAAATACAAATGAAAATGATTAATATAACATTAATGTTACAATATTCAAAGCAAGATAAATTTCTTTTTTAATCTTAATCTTCAATGCTATTTTTTCTTACTATCCATGACAGCAACGTTGCAACTTGTACGACCAGTATGAAGTAAACGTCTTTAAATGAATCTATGGTGGTCTAAATCTATGCGTATTTTTCTTTCTAAAACTGTAAAAATCAATCTGACGAATGCAATTGAACACGATACTTGATGTTACTGAAAATGACTACGAATCATTCACTTACTTGACACATATAGATTAAAGTATAATTTTCCAGACGAGGGAACAATTGTTTCGTACATAAGAAAATTCTTTTTCCAATAACTTTACGGCATCCGTTTATGCAATAAAATTAAGATATATGATTGTCTTGAAATATTGATTTATATTTAGTAGCTTCAATAAGGTTCGATAGTAATTCGATAATAAACCGAAGATTATCATATCACTGTATTGAATTCTTATAAATTCTAAAAATATCTTTGTATTTCTGTTTGTAACATTTTGTAGTAAATGCAATTGTATCCGACTTCTAACTAAGAATTTTTGTAACTAAAGAAAGTATCTAAGATAATTATTTTTAGAATATAAATACTTATTGTAACTTTACAAAAATGATAATTGTTTGATTTGATCTACTTAACGCTTTTATCGTCTATTCTTTCATCTTAATTGAAACAGTGAATATATTTGCGACACAAAGTGAAGTTTTGGTAAGATATTTAATCTTTCGTTTAAATACAACATATAACAAATGTAATTTGATAGTTTTATTCTTATATTCAATAATATAATTTAAACTATTCAATACATACATCTATATTAGCAATATACAATCATATTTATTTTGTTCTAAAAATTTTTGTTAAATCTGAATGTGACTTGATGTTTTACATGGATAATATTATTTCAACGACAATATCATAGTGATGTATGACATGCACGTTTTTAGAGCCTCGAAATAAATATAATAATAATTAATATTTGTTAATACATATTATTATATATATTATATATTGCAATACATACTGTTCCAAAGTTCTCCATATTCATTTCGTATAATCCACATGCCGTTAATGAACATGGCTTGTTACATCTTATTTGCATCACATAAAACATTTTTTGAACTTCTATTGGCATATTATACCATGCGGACATAAATCTGTCATAATATCAACAGAGTTATATTTGTATCCTTAATCATTTACATTCTATATAAGAAGTACATGCAGTACATACATATTATTTGTTAGATTAGAATAATGATTCAAAAGTATTTGTCCAGGTATACTAAGAATAAATAAATGAAATTGGGCAGCTATAAGAAATACAGTGCTTTTAATTGCCACCTCCAATTTATCTAAATTTAAAACTATCTGAAAAATAAAACTATTCATTAGATAAAATCTTTTCTTATCTCTTTTTGATTTTTCAAATTGGTCTTTACTTGTACAGCTGACATGCTTGTTCCTATTATATTTGATCCAACTAAAAAGAAATAAGTATTTCGACTGCTCTCATCTAAAATATCGAAAAACCTAAAAATATTATGAAAAAAATTAGATATATTCAATAATTAATTTATAACTTGTTATTCTTAATTATTTAATAAATACGAACTGAATAGCTTCATTGTGTACGATTAAACAATTTTTAAATTGTTCGTATATACGTATATTGGAAAAAGCTTCTTCGGTAAATATTTTTTGAATCTGATATCTAATGAAAGCAAGGAAATGATTAAAATTTGTATAATATTAAACACGAGAAGATTAATAATGTGTTTCTTATAATAATATTTACCCACATACTGTAAACATTCCACTATTATGATGAATTATAAGAATATACAACCAATCAAAAATAATTATGATTATCACACAAACAAATGAGCTCCAAACTAATTGAAAGTATACGTAAAAATAATAATCTTCGTGGTTGAAGATCAGGTAATTAACTTTATATAATTGTTGTCTTGGTCGAGTTTCATTTAAAGGATAAACAATGTCCAAAATAGGAAAAATTAATGGTACAGAAAAGAAAATTACCATAGCGACCAATAATGTATCTGAAAAGTATACATAGTATACTTTATTATTATATAGATTATATTCAAAAAATAAAAATATTTTAAATAGATAAATACATTTGGATTTCAAAAATGATATCGTACTTCGATATATTTGTGCCATTTTATTGCCTTGCATGACGATTTCTTCCAAGACTCGTATTTCATTGTTTAATTTCAACTGATGCCATTGTTTTGCCACAAATGTAAATAATTTTTTGAACTATAAAATATAATATTTTATACTAAATACGATATTTATATAATTAGATATTTGTTTTTCAAGTTGGATTAAATATGCTGGATATTCACATACGTTTTCACTGTTGTTATATATATTTTGTAGTTTAAACATAGCAACTACGCATACACCTAAAGGCGGTAAGCATTCAAGCATAGCATCTATATTTTTTGCACATAATGATGTGTATATTGCGAATATCTAATGAATTTCATTTCGATTATTTAATAAAATTACCTTATTATTTTATTACATGCATTTTTTCAAATTCATTTTTCTTATTATTTTTTCTAAAATATTCAATATTGTTTTCTTACCAATGGCAGAGTAACGCTTATAATGGAAATCACCACTAAAATTATAATAGTATTTCTAAGTGGATATAATCCTGATAATGTTAACCATTTCTTCAATGATTTGTAATAAGGAATCTCAAATATATCAAGACACTGTCCTCCATATATCTGAAATACTAAATGCTGTAAATTCAGATTATTTTTCGAAAAAATCATTTCTTATAATATGTTTATATATAATATAAATATATATTGAAATAATATAAAAATACAACAAATATAACATTGAATGTGATTCAACGTTTTTTCTTACTATGCACATTTGCAGTATTGTAAAATTATAGAAACACTTGTTCCAAAAGCAATATCTTCTTGAATATCCTTCTTTTCAGAGAGGAAGAGATCAATCTGATAAATGCAGTTACATTCAATGTACGATAATGTTCGATATGTGTAACAATAGGTATTACGAATAATTGCAAATCATTTCCTTGTAAGACACATATGTATTATTGTACCCTTATTAAATTAACTTATGCAACAATTGTTTCGTAGATAAGAAAATGACTGTTCGAAACAGCTGTCATTTATGCTTAAAATCGAAGATCCATGATTACCTTGAAATATTGATTGCCTTACTTGCAATATGGTGTTTACTAAACGGCCAGTGATAGAGAGAAAGTTTTCAAATTACTATATATTGAAAATTATTAAATTCTAAAAAAATCGTATTTCTGTGTTCAATAATACTAATTGCTTGGATTTTTAACTACGAATTCTCTTTTTCAGAATCAGTGAAACATTGTTGTTTGCGAAATATAAATAATACATATAATTTTATAAAACATTGTCAGATCAACATTCACTTTACATCATTTTAATTTGCTAAGATAAAAAAAATTCTTTTTGTAGTTTACTGAAAGTGGAATGGCGTTATGAAATGTTCGTAGTCAATTCGTTATTTTGGTAAGATCTATAATATTTTTTATACATTACAATATTACAGCATTTCGTTTTATTTGTGTGTTTCATAAAATTTGTTATGATGCTTTAATATTGACAATACATATTAATTATTTTTACTATTATTCGTATTCTCATTAATATGGATAAGAAATATAATAGATTTAGTTGTGTACAGTATAGTTTTCCGTAATATCGTAGAATCATTATTTCAATGACATTATCATCGTGAAGTATGATATACACGTTTTAAAAGTCTTGAAATAAAAATTAAATAATAATTAACAAAATATGTATTATTATAATATCATTATCATATATACATACTATTCCGAAGTTTTCGATATTCATATCATACAATCCACCTGCAGTTAATGCACATAATTTTTTACTTCTTATTTGCATCATATAAAGCATTTTCTGAATTTCCAATGATGTTCCATACCACGTAGAATCATATCTATTTTAATATTAATCAAATATTAAATTCGAGTTATTTTAAATTATAAAATTTTTATGATTATTTAGTACATATACAATAAATACATACATAATATTTGCAAAATCAGCACAATGATCCAAAAGTACTTGTCCAGGTAGACTGAGCAAAAACAAATGAAACTGATCGGCAGCAAAAAATACAGCACTTCTAATTGCTACATCCGGTCTGTCTAAATTTATAACTGTCTGAAAGATAAAAGTAATTAATTAAATAAAACTTTCTACAGTTTGTATGTATCGTTATTTATATATATATATATATATTATAATTATATTTACTTGAACGGCTGTCGTACTCATACCCAACATATTTAATCCAACTTGAATTAAGTAACTATACTGACAGCTTTCATTCAAAATATTGTAAAACCTGAAAGTGTAATGAAAAAAACAATTTAATGCGATAATTATTTGCTAGTATATCATAGTTTAATATTAATTAATGAATACGTACTCTATAACTTCGTTATGCATGATTACACAAGCTCTAAATTTTTCATACGACGAGTTCTCAGAAAACGCATCTTTAGAAACTAAATTCGAATTCATCGTTGCTTCTAAAACTTGGACTCTGTATTTATGAAAAAATTGGCAGCGAAAATCACGAGATTTATCATAAGAAGATTTGTACTATTTCGAATATTTTACGTTTATTTGCATTACGATATATACCCACACACCGCAAACAATCCGCTATTAAAATGGATTATAAGAATATAGAACCAATCAGCAGCGATTATAGTCAGTACGAGAATAATTGATCCCCAAGCTAATTGTAAGTATACGTAAAAAAAATAGTCATTAGTGTCAAAAATGATGTAATTAACTCTAAGTAGTTGTTGTCGAA